ATGCAAGAGCAAGCATGACCATGCCGTGATGCACAGCTCGAGTGCTTATCATTATAGTGGCAATAGCAGGCACCATTATTAACACAGTTGCTTGATAAAGGTTCATCAACAAATGGCTTGTGTGATGTACATGCATAATATTTTGTCCAATCAGTCCAAAGAATAAATGTAATATGCAGTAAGTTGCTGAAATATTTTGAAAAAAAAGTACTACCGTCGATTTTGGAAGACAAAGATGGCATAAATTTGACTTGAGAGATAATTCTTAGTTTTATTTGAGAGTTTCCTCTTTAAGTGGCCATTCAAGACAGGTAGAGGACAACATAACAAGCCTATCCAAATGAAAAAAAAAACATCCTAAAAGAGATGGAAATCGGCAAATGAAATCTTTAAGACAAAAGGTAAAGCCTACTTAGGAGCCACGCGGCTCCATTGGTTAATGGCTTCTCATTGACGTCCCTAATGTCATTAATGATTCCATTATCAGTGGACTATTTTTGTCATTTTCAGCCTTGTAATATGGCACATATGACACCATTGTCAAAATCGCAGTGAAATGTGGTCAAATGCCAAAATTCAGAAATAGCAGATATTTTCTGTAGTTTTTACAGGTTTTGACAGTTTTATATCTGAGTGTTCAATTTGATCACGCAAATTTTGGTCAATTTTCAGCTCTTCGCTTCAATATTGACATCTGCGTTTTTTCCGCGGTGATCTTCGCGTCTTTCATTTCTTCGGAAATACCCATAGAGAGGCTCATTTTTATAGCTGGTGTTGATTATAGGACAACTCATTTAGATGATATTTTGAAAAAGAGTAAAAACCTATTTCCATGAGCTTGCAAACATCTGTAAGCTTGATAACTACTCAAAAATTTCCATGTAATTCTAGATGAGAAACAGTTTCAGTGTGCAAGATATTATCCAACTAAGTTCAACATATTTAGCAGTCCATTCAATTTTCCCTTCTGTTTAGAAGCTTCCCTGAATTTTTTGAACACTTTTGTCCCACACGCTTCATCAATATTTGCTCAACTTCTACTTCTTTCTGTAATCCACAATTTCATTCTGTCAAAATGCATCATGGCTGTAATCAAAACATGGATGCAATTCACACAAGCATTTAAAACCTTTCATGACAAGATGTTATAATCTCTTGTTTCGTACTCATTACTTGACAGGTAGATCAAGCATGTAGTGCATATATTTGTTTTGTCTTCCTCGACTTTTTCCACACGAACTTTCATTCGGTACGAAAATTCAAAGAAATATCGCTCTCTGTTCTGGCGAAACGACACAGAGCGGAGTTGAAACTCTTTGAGTGATTTTTTGCATGAAAGTTCGATGAAAATTTGAAAGAAAAATAAATGAAATTTGGCGATTTTAGTTTCCATTACTTGTGCACAATACTGTATCTCTCGACCAGGCAAGGTCATGTACCTATTTATTGTATTTTTTAAACAAAATCTGGTAGCAACATTCAGGGAAAGTTTTAAAAAATTGCTTGATAACCTTTTTCTGCGGAATCACCTTAAGTCACTGTTACCACAGGCTATTAAAAATAGAACCTCAACAGTTTGTAGACCTCTTCCATTAGCATTTTGAGAGGGGTTTTGTTAAATAAATTCAATAAACTTCAGTTAACTCAGCACTGTAACTGTTTCTTGTGCATTCCAATGGCTATATGCTACATCAACATTAACCCTTTACATCCTTAGAGTGTCCAGCATGTAATTTCTTCTTTCAGTAATACAAAGAGAAGATCACAAGAATATAGGAAAAGATTAGAAGCAGCTTTGATTCTAAGAAAAATTCTCCTTGTCAGTACCTTCTGTTGAAATAAGATCAAAAGGAGATATTTTTTTCAAAAAACTCCTGGTGGGAGTAAAAGGCATGATCATGAGTTTGACTGCACCATAAATAAGCAGCTGAAAAAAGTCTTAATATTACTGAAAATAATCATCAGGAAGCCCATTTACCTCAATACTCTCCTTAGTTTAGTTTTTTACTTTTTCCATTTTTTTCTTAATCTGTCTGCTCTTTTCTTCTCCATGTCACGGTCATCATTGGACTGAAATAACCACAAACAATCAGCCTCGTTGTGAAATCAGGGATATGTATATTGTACTAAACGTTTTGTTCTGTAGTATCGCTGAGTATTTCTACGAGTTGTACTGTATTTTTGATGAGCAGGGCTCGTCAAAATACAAACAACAAGTAAAAATACTCAGCGATACTACACAACAAAACGTGTAAGAAGAGATTTATCATCCAACACACCAAATTGGCACTTCAGTGCAGGCAAATTTTGCGGATATTTCTGAAGTACAAATATCGCATGATATTTGTACTCGCCTCATGCCTTATTTGTACTCTACGAAGCACAGCTGGATAATAAAGAGGAATACCGCTCACTTAAGCAGCAAAGTAACACACTGCCAAAATACAATACGGGGTTGGGAGCACTCAGAGTTCTGATTCATTCACTGAATACTGAAACATCATCTTTCACAAGTATGGGTTATTTCAAAAGTTTCTGTATAAACATATTTATACAACTATTGAATTATACAGCTAGCAGCACCCGCTGGCAAGATAAAGCAAATACTGTGTTCTGATTGGCCACCAGAGAGGGCAAGACGGACCCATCTTGCCTGCTGGGGATTGCCCGCTTTGATCACGCACAAGGAAAGTGCGTCTGGAGCAGACTTAAAAAGTTCTTAACTTTTGGAAAATATCAGCAGCAAAGATACAAAATAAAGAAGTCATTCTTGGCGCTAATAGCACAACCCACACTGACATGACCCACAATTCCTCCATTTGCTGTAATGAAGGGCTAACACTTGAGAGGTCAGCTTTGAAACTCTTTACAGTGGCTAATTTACATTATCAAGTCAATTGATAAAACAAAAATTGTCTTGTGTGACTTCCCCTCTGATGCAGCATCACAGGTTCCTTAGAAACTTACTCCCCCCCCCCATATTCATTTTTAAGCCCGATCACTCTCACTTGCACAACCAAAAATACTAAAACAGTTTTTGCACTGAATGAAAAATTAACTGAGTGTGTGTTTTATAGACTTTTTCCCTTTGCCCCATGTCATTAAAAATAGGGGCCACCATGTGTTTCCTTACGTTTTTCTTACTATTATTTCAAAATTTGTCACCTGCACATATTGTTTAAGCTTTCCTAACACCTCCCCTGTAAGTAAAGACATTGATACTACGTAGCAAGATTGTCTCACATGAGAAAGGCTTCCCCCCTACCCCATGGTAAGCAGTATTGAAGTGATCACGACAAATGAATGATCAAACAGAAGTCCACATGGCTGACATCAAACTTTACAACTCAGATTTTGAGTCCTTTACCCACTGCATTGGACCTTCTGGAGGTCAAAGTGAAAAACTGATATTTTACCGAATATCGGTTTCAAAAATAATGGATATCAAAGTCTTAAATACAACAGAATAAGCTTTGGAGTCAACGACATTCAGATTCTCCAGAGCGATGCAAATTATGGTTACAAAGTGAAAACCAGACTTAATTACTTCAAGTGAGGCCTAGTGACAATTTGACATTACTTTCCATAGCCCAATAAAATTATGTTTTAACTATGATGTGTGCGTAAATTGCCGTTTGATTGAAGATTTTGGGTCAAAACATTTATTTTCAGAATTTTCAACTTTATGCTATCTGATTTTATGACCATGAAGTCGCATAAACAAAGATCTAAGCATGGAGAATCATAGTGATCTACGGCACAGGTTTGGTACACACGTTTTTTTGCTTCTAAAAGTTTATCAAGCTGTTGTCTCAAAATATTTCTCGCTCATTTTCGTCTCGCTTTTCATCCACATGGATAACTGCATAAAAATTCAGTGATTCTAAATTTGTATTTTAACTTGACTTCTGAGTAAATTTTATAGGCATCTATCATTTTTTTTCTTGGAAAATAGGTTATTAAAATGGTCTTCTTTCATCTGAGCTGTTTTGGGGAAAATATGATTTCAGAAAAAATTCCTGTGCACTGTTTCTTTTTTGTTTTCTTTTGTGTTTTCTTTCCCATAGGCAAGCGAAACACTAAGGAATTAATGGGTAAAATACTTTTCCCGTTTTTCTGATATTTTTCATGGGGACCAATCACTTGCATGATCATTGTAGGAAGAGAGTTCTTTTATTCATGCAAGAGCAAGCATGACCATGCCGTGATGCACAGCTCGAGTGCTTATCATTATAGTGGCAATAGCAGGCACCATTATTAACACAGGTTGACCGCTTGATAAAGGTTCATCAACAAATGGCTTGTGTGATGTACATGCATAATATTTTGTCCAATCAGTCCAAAGAATAAATGTAATATGCAGTAAGTTGCTGAAATATTTTGAAAAAAAAGTACTACCGTCGATTTTGGACGACAAAGATGGCATAAATTTGACTTGAGAGATAATTCTTAGTTTTATTTGACAGTTTCCTCTTTAAGTGGCCATTCAAGACAGGTAGAGGACAACATAACAAGCCTATCCAAATGAAAAAAAAAAACATCCTAAAAGAGATGGAAATGGGCAAAATGAAATCTTTAAGACAAAAGGTAAAGCCTACTTAGGAGCCACGCANTTATCGTTGTCTTTGTCAACATTTCTCGGGTTGATCGTTAATAGCTGGAACTTCTCTGGGTTGGTTGAGAGATAGTTGTTCTTGTACCAGGATAGAGCTTTCTCTCCATGTATCTTGATACTTTGCGCGACAACGTCATGCTTCTTCCCCATGACATACATCTGATGGTCGTCGGCATACATGCTCAAATTGTAATTTCAAACTGAAGGTGTTCAATGAAATAAACCATTTCCAGTGTTGCACTTCATTCTTCAACCCTATAATAAACTAGATTTCAATAACCTGTGGTTTATTGTCAAACAAAATAGCAATTCATGTACATCTGTGTGAGTCTTGAATAAACATTAGCTGACTGACCCCTGGCCATGTTTGTTTATATCATACTTGACCTCTGAACCTCTACCACATGCACTATTGGCCAGCCAAAGACTTTCATACCGTAAATATAAGTGAAACCAGACCAGGTATATCCTGAGAATTTCTTCTATCATAGTGTTGGTGTGTTAATAATATTTCTTGCAGAGATATAGTGTTTGCTCTCTTTTGTTTGTGGTATTGCTGTATTCAGAACCCTCCATGCCCCGCTCATTAAACCAAACCCTAAGCAACTAAAATAATCCAAAAGGCCAAGTCCAGTAAAAAGGAACATACAAAAGGACCCACCAGTACTGAGAACTTAAAGAAAGTGCATTAAACCATATGCATGACTGACCATTAATTACAACTTATAATAGTTTTTCCAGCATTTGATTAGTTGAGACTAGTAAATTTGACATATTTGCATCCTTCCTGTGTCAACCCTGTGAAAACAAAATGGAAAAAGCATATTCCTAACCGCGTATTAGACTAGCAAGAGTGCACTAAAGTGAAAAAAGGGATATACATGCTATTACTCACAAAGACAAAAGGTACTTATAACACAGGATAAAATAGTAACATACAGTGGTGTATCTTATTTATGCTAAGTATGTTTTTGTAACCATCATCGTGGAAAGAAAAAAATCATCACTCGAACAAAACTGGTCCATCATCCGGGCAATAACGGAAAGGAGAAACAAGATTGTGGTTGCGATGGACGCGATGAGGAGGCCTGCTTAAAACAAAAATAATTCGCCTTCCAACAATTTGAGACTTTGTCTAATACCAGTTCACTTAAAAGACACCTGAAAAGACTTAAAGACCAAAGATCCATTGGCTTTTATAGCTATTGAAAGTTGTTATGTATTCTTTGACCCGATACCATAGGACCTATTGAGTATAAAGAGAAGAATGTAACCTAGAAGCGTCCAAAATCTGCTACGATACCTCTAAACAAGATGGGGTTCATTAGACGAACATTCAGAAAAGCCCAATACATCGTTGCTTGGATATGGAACGACAAATTCGAGCGCTATTTTGTTCATAGCAGCCTACGGCCGCTTATTTGGGGTCCGCAAAATTTCATAGGAACGAAAGTTTGGGATACCATCCTCGCCAGGAAGCGCTGCACAAGTTTGACATCTAGAGAGATGTGGCTTACGGAAGCCATTCTAGTTGTTCGCGTGTTGTAGTTCTGAGATGATTCTCGGTTGGTGATCAATGATCAATCAAATGAATGTCTTGCCTTGTCTTATTCATTCACTTTAATTTTGTCAAAGTATTCATGACACTTGCGCACTTTAAGAGGACTTAACTAATGATAGCGCGCGTGCATGTTTTCTGAGAGGTAAGCTGTACTGTGTCTATTCGACAGGCCTGGGTTGATATTCTCTGGGCTCAATATTGCAGATTCAATATGGCGACTATGATTATATCTGCGATCAAAGTTGTTTGCTATTTGCGTCTGGTGTTTGTTCTTTCACAGCGGAATACTCCAAAACATAAAACAAAAACAGTAAAACCTGTTTCATTACAATTACTTCAAATGCTGTGGCTGGATGACAAAATGGTCACTTTCATCTGTTTACGCGATCGTTAGAATCGATCGCTACAAACGCAAAGTCTCGTCTCGTAATGTACTTTAAAAAACAAACTTTCCTCTTCTTTCAAGAAATTATTACTTTACGAGCATAAAAATATATTTGTCCAACGTAACATAAGTGTTTTCATATTGGGTGCCAGTTGTCTGAAGATCGGGGGCGAGTTGTTTGGGGCTAATTGTCCAGGGGGCGAGTTGTCTGACAATCGTTAAAAGACAAACTGTGTTGTTCATCCGGGCATTTACTTTTGTGTGAGCCTGATAAGTCGATTGTTTCATTCTTCTGTAACCCATAGCCGTTGAGGGCGAGTTTGCTGTAGAGTTCCGAAGGACCTCAGCCGCCGTAAATTAAACTCGCACCGCTAACACCGTGCTTTTATCGCTTTTATTCCTGACCTCTCCCCACCCCCGAAAAAAAAGGTACATTCTTATAAGTTTATCCCAAGCTCAACTCTACGAAATGCCAAAAATGATGCAGCCCTGTGACAATAAAAAAATACTTACCATTGGCACCAAAGGAAGTCGATCAGGGTCCACTGAGATCCAAGCCGTTTGAACACAAACGATATTCCACGTTTGCTTATGTCCTGTGTAATGATTGAAAGAAACAAAATTTGATTAACATCTTTTTCTTTTCAGGAAAATCCTAACCGAGTTTTAAAATCTCAACGTTGGTAGCGATGTTAAAAATGAGCAATCTTCATATCTTTTTTGAGATTTTTGGATGAAACTGATTCCCTGATCACCGAGCTTTTAGTCTTCCATCTCTTGTGCTAAATAAAACATAAGCTCGGCATATGAAGACAATCCAGTGTTCGAAACATTTCTTCTTTTCTGGGAGAAAGTCTTCAGTGCATAGGAGATCAAAACTTAAGAGAAAATATTTTCGATAAAACCGACCCACTCATACGTTAGCTTTTAGTCTCCCATCTCCACAAAGACAGTCCAGTGTTCGAAACAGTTTATCCCTTCTATGGGTACTAAGTCTTTACATCACAGTTCAAAGTCAGCGCAAAGTCAAACGTCCGTTCATTATATAAAGACAGTCTAATGTCCGAAACAGTTTATCCTCATTTTTGGGGGACAAAGTCTTTGTATCACAGATCAAGACTAGGGAAGGGATTTCTTGGGTGACGCCGACCCCTTTAAGGATCAGCTTTGACAGGAGCGGATCTAGGTGGAGGGAGCAGGGGGTGCGCACCCCCACCCCCTGAGATGACCTGCGGCCTTCTAATACAAATGGTATTCTGCAAAAAGAAAAAAAGTCAAAATCCTTCTTCGTATTCGCTATTACAAGTTGTTTAAGTCCGGTCACCAGTCAGTTACGCCATTCTTTAGTGGTGCACCCCTCCACAAAGTCAAAAATCTGATCAGCACATAAAGACAGTCCAGTGTCCGAAACAGTTTGTCCTCTTTTTTGGGGACAAGTCTTTGCACCACAGATCAAGGAAGAGACTTTTTGGGTGACACCGACCCCTGTAAGGGTCAGCTTTTAGTCTCCCATCTCTTGTACAAAGTCAGACGTCCGCTCAGCGTATAAAGACAGTCCAGTGTCCGAAACAGTTTCTTCTCTTTTTTGGGGAACAAGTCGTTGCAACACAGATCAAGACTAAGGAAGAGACTTTTTGGGTGACACCGACCCCTTAAAGCGTCAGCTTTGAGACTCCCATCTCTTGTACAAAGTCTGACGTCCGATCAGTGTATAAATACAGTCCAATGTCCGAAACAGTTTTTCCTTTTTTGGGGGACCAAGTCTTTGCATCACAGATCAAGACTAAGGAAGAGATTTTTGGGGGGACACCAACCCATGAAAGGTTAAGCATTTAGTCTCCCATCCCTTGTACAAGTGTGTACAGTGTCCGGAACAGTTTAGCCGCTTTTTCGGGGACCAAGTCTTTGCATCGGAGTTCAAAGTCAGTCAGTTATTCTGTTCAGCGTATGTAGACAATCCGTTTTCCGAAACAGTTTTTCCCTTTTTTTCTGGGACCAAGTCTTTGCTTCACTGAGGAAGACTAAGGAAGATATTTTTGGGTAACACCGAACCCTTTGTATCATAGATCAAGACTAATGAAAACTTCAATGTCTTAAAAAGGAGTAGTTTTCTAAAAATGTTTTATCCCTCACATCGCTTATTTAATCTCAGCCCAGTTTCATCACACGTTGTTATAGAGTGAAAATTCGTGGAAGCATTTTAGCAAAAGTTAAAACTTATCTTGCTTGCATTTGTAATGTTTCTGTTATCTACATCACTACTCATCTTATAAAATAAGCTGTACTGCCAAAACTCAAGCGAGATTAGAAGAGCATCTGCCTTGCTTGGGAAGGAAACAAGGAAACCACCCACACCTACAGAGAATGTCATCGAATTTTATGACATAAAGTTTTTCCGCTGTTGCGTCAGTATAAAAACACATATACGTACACATTTGATCTGAACGCTTTCGTAAAGATGCTTTGCACCTTCGAATAGATACCAAATGAAATTGATTTCAGTTACAATGTAACTAATCATGCATGCTCTGTGCACAATTTAGTATTTCAACGGGCAAGGGGAGGGGCCTAAGTTTATCTTTAAATAAGTCTCTCCTAGTGTGAATGGAAACTGATCCATATGCATTAAAAACAGCTGCACATAAGCACAAGAACAAGCGTGAAACAAAACATTTGACTGATCTTGTCATGCCAAACTAACTTCATTTTAAAAAACAACTTTATCTCCACTAAACCTGCCGTCTATACAACAAGCATCTTCGTGCTCACTTTTATTGTTCTCTTTTTGTGTACTTGTTTATGCTTATGCTTGTGCCTAAATAAGGAGAAACATG